CTATAGCAACATTGAAACAGGGGGGCGGGGGTTCGACCTGGAACTTTTATCAGGGGCGCAAAAAACCCTCAAATCTGGCTTCAGCGGTTAGGCCCTTCACGGTTTCTCTCACTTGAATTAAGTGTAGCAATCGTATTAAGCCCAACCCTGGGGGGAAATGCGAAAGTGGCGTTTGAGTTTGTGGAAGTCAACGGAAATAAAGACTACACGAAAAGAAGTTGATTTTCCCTTTGTTGGTCTTACACATTTTGTATTTCATATGACTTTCTTGGTCACTTTGCTTGCTGATGTTTGCTTGCACTGGGTGTTGATGTTTCGGGCATGTGCTGAAATTTTCTTGCCCTACGTGTCTCGCAAACTAACCGCTGAGGATTTTTTGACCCGCCCTCCCGCCCTTCAAGAAGGCAATTAATTCACTTTTGTGCCCAGTAGGTCTTTGTATAGGTCGCAGGATGGTTTATGTTGGCTGCATTTGCCAATGTGGGTTGAGCAAGCCCATAGGATCCCACAATCCGTTCGCGTCACCGCGATTGAAAAAATTAACAGGTCATGTGTGAGCAACTGTGTACATGTCATGTTTGAGTGTGATGCAATGGATATTTTACTTTTAGATTCGACCAATATTCTGGATGAGCGATCAAAATAACTTTCGATTGTATATTTTCCTACACTTGTGTGGTATGGAATGCAAAAAAGGTCCAAACTTTTCCTTTGCAGTTGAGTTGTCAATGGTTTGAGGCAATCATCCGGCTGTAGTTTGACATTGGTAGCGTCACGAGTATGTCGACGTGCCTTTAATTCCTTGATTTTTTTTGACGTGCCTTTTATTGCTTGAAATTTTAAGCGTCTTTTTGAAGCGAAGGCTTATTGTTCGTGCCTGATACCGCCACCATCAACAAGGTAATCCTAATGCTTGACATGGTCTCATTTTGGGCTCGAGCCTTGCAACCTTTCCATTTCAGAAACTGAGATCAAAGGTCTTTGGAATGTGAAGAGTTTAGCAAAACTGTAAGGTCCTGCATGGCATATTCGAATCAACCAGGTTATTCTCGAGCTTGCAGGAAAGCAGATCCACCGCTCCAGCCAAGACACATTTTTTGTTTAGGCGGCTGTCGACCATTGGTTTGCACCACACCAACTAGACGAGTTTGAATCATCTTGAGCTTTCGTTTATCCATCAACCCGAAACAACGATTTAGTATTGCGCAGGCAACCAGAAACAACACCGTGGACTGCTCCGAGGTTACGTCAGAAGAGAACAGACCAAAGTAGAGGTGCAACTTTGAACTTTCAATGCCTCACAGTTCGGTTTTGCATCACGTTGCTGGATGTGGCTTGCAGCGTGCTCACGGCGCAATGAGGGACGAACTTGTATCAGGTCAAGCATCCATAGCACATCATGATGATGTCGATGCCGAGCAGGAAATATGATGTCCTGCTCACATTACGTTTGCATGGTTGCACGACGCAATGTGGTTTGATCGATTCCTCATTGTTTCAGGCGCATCTATCTAGGCAAATGGTTCCTTGGATCAGTGAGGGGCATTGCAGGGAAAGATGCGTGTGTCCGTCCTTGCAGTTGTTAGCGCTGTCTCATCAAAACATTGACAAAGGAGGTTCACATTTTTCATGATGGCCGATGACCCTTTGTCAGCGTTCAAAGCCGCTGCATCAAAGCAACGCGGCATTCCTTCAACGAGGTCCAAGCAAACAGATTTCGGCCGAATCGACCTTGATCACTTGGCCCAAGCTTTTTAGTGACAGGTTCCAGCACAGAAGGACTGCTGGAGAAATCCACAGATGCAGACGCGGTCAGCGCACCGACATCAAGCCGCCGATGACCCAATGTGATTTGAGCGCGTATTTGTGCCCCATGTTGGGTGATGTCTGCAAGCTTGAAGAAGCCAAGGACTGAATGGGACAAGTTTGGCTATGCAGATAAGGATGAGGCTGCCAGCAGATTCCACCAGTGGCACTGTCATGGCTGCAGGCTCTAGCGTGTGGTTAGGTTCAGCCTTTGCGCAGAGAGGTCCTCAGGCGTGAAATCACCTATGACGCGCAAACTTTGCCCATCACACGGGCCGTTGTCTTAGATGCTCTTTCTTGCTTTCGTCGTTTCTTGTAGTTTCTGCTGCCTTAGCTTTGGAGAGTACGAGAAAGCTGCAACTACGTGAGTCGTGACCTTGAGCCATTTTGGGATGTCCTTGGGGACACTACCAAGTTGAGTTGTGAGGTGAAGCCGGGTGAGCTGACCACGGAGGAGTTCTTGAAGGCCCAGCAGCTGTTTCTTGTTTGCAGAAAATGTGGAGGGTTCTGCCAGGAATTTGCTGCCAAGTCCAGACCTGTGATCATCGAGGAGATGGTATTCATGGCCTGTATAGCCAACGTCGAATTGGACAAGTTCATGTCAGGGAGCATGTTCATCTTGGCCTGCCTCCAACCGCTGGTCACTGGATGCTCTTGAAGAAAGGACGGCCGATCCCAGCACTTTGCACAGTCGTGCCATGTTTGACAATTTTGCAGGTTCCGGCATGTTGATTTCAAAGTTGGGTGTGGCTTTCATGTTCACTGACGCGGCGCAGCTCGAAGAACAACAGTTTGTGATGTCGTGGGTTTGTTCCTTCCTCATGCCAGGAAGACTGACAAGGGAAAGCAGGGACCCCATTTGAATTTTGAACTTTATACATCACCACATAGAGATATGGCCATGAAGATGTTTTCTTGCAGGAACATCCAGTTAAAGATGAAGTACTATGCTGATTATTGTCGGCATCAGAGGGACGTCCTAACCCCAGCAATGCTCATAGCCCGAGTTGAGGCTTTCCAATATGGAGGCCTTGCTGGTCTAAGGACAGTCCCTTGTATCTTTTCGAGACCAAGATCGACGTCCTGCCGGCATACTTTTCATGAATGATGCCAGTGCTGAAGCTGTCTTATTGAAATTCATGGGTGCCATCTAAACGCAGTTGAAGTTTGATTTTCCGCAATGCTTGGATGCCTTGCCAGGAAACGAGTGCCATGCGTCACTTGCTCTCAGACTTTGAAATACCAGATTTCTTTCCTGATGACTGGCCTCTGCCCTAGCCATCTTCAGAGAAAGCACAACATGAGATAGAACACCTGTTTTGAGGTTTGCTCTAATGAATCATGATGCCAGACCGCCGCATCGTTGGTGGTGCATTGGACCGAAGAGGCATCAGCCACGAGCTCGTGCTGGCCATAATGCCGCCTTCTTCTGTTGTTGCAGGTCTGGGACGACAGCAGATAGCTTAGCCCCGTGTATGCTTTGTAGAAGTAGCAGAAGCGCTCGGTCAATTTACAGGTGCACACTGATCCGTTGGGCACAGCAGCTTGGAATGCTGCTTGGCTTTCTTGGTTGGCCTCTTGCCTTGCATGCTCGCCGTACGTAGCCCAAGGCTGTGACCCATGGGGTGAAGCGATGGGTCTTGTTCGAGCCCTGCACTCCCAAGCGCATCGATGCTTGGCATGTGCTAGACCTTACTGTACACCTGTTTCTCCTTATGACCCCTCAGTTTAGGGAAAGCGTTCTATCATGTGGCTCTACGCGACTGTTTTGTATGTCCGATCTTGCAGGTAATTGCATGCCATGCCGTGAGAACCTTTGACAAGAGCCAACATGGAGAATTCATTATCAATGTAGCAGCAAGCCATTGAGTCTTTTTCGACATAACATCACGAAGTCATTGAGGTCTTTCCATCAGTAATTGCATCTAAACAACGGGGTCGTATTGGGCGCTTTGACGCTTGTTTTTTTTGCGGTAGCCTTGTAGCAGGCACTCAAGTCTGCTCGATGTGTTGGGGCTACGGTCAAAGCCTAGACAGAATGGCCCCAAAAGCAGATGACAAGGCAAAAGGGAAAGCTGTTCTGAAAGAAGGCAGGGCAGTCGAAGTTGTCTTGCTGCTGCATGTGGGCAGAGTAATGCTCAGTCCAGTGGCCGCAGGTGAGGACACTGAGGACAGGGGAGGTCGGCAATTGACCTCGGGATGCTAAAACATTCACGCTGAAGGCCATCATGTACTTCGATTTCATATTGCCTCGACTCAAAGAGGCCTATCCAGATGCCGCGGACACATCTTTTCCTCTGTCGTAGGTTTGGGCTGTGCTGTGTCAGCCCAGTTGTTTGCATGATAGATAGAACGCAAGACAATAAGGTCAAGACATATGAAGGGCTGCAAGGTCCTGGAGACCTTATCTTTGTCCCTGGGGACAGCACAGCTGCATGCATGTTGGGAAGACACTTTGACACACCACTACAGCATCAGTTGCTATGCAGGACTGGTGGCATGGTGTTCTCAACCTGGAGGTGCTGCAAGAATATGAGCATGCTCTGCAAGCTTGATCTTCATAGCGTCGTAGCAGACGGCGTCAAGTAGAATATTGCGCGTTGAGGACGCTGTTGCAATCACTGAGAACTACTGATGCTGGTTTGCACAAAATGCGGGACTAGGCCATGACTCTAGCTTTCGACTCGAACATTGACCAGTTGTCTAAGGCGGCCGGGACAACTTTGAGACAGTCTGGCGGCGAACGCGTAAAGATCGTGAAAAGGCTCTCCCGCATGTGGCACGTTTGCGCCATGCGCTCCAGCTTTCTGTTGTGAGGTTGCACACCTGTGGCTTCGCAACATGAAGAAATTTGCCCCAAGGTGGCTTGGGTTGGGGAACTTGCAGCCTGGGTCTGCGGAGATGTACGTAGGTGCAGACTGGGGGACCATTGTAGGACAATGTAGGACACATGATTCTGGTGTTAAATGCAAGTGCTCTGGACTGGGAAAGAATTGTAGAATCATGTGGAACATGGCAATCTCTGCCGAACACAAACCACTGCTTGATGCCTGCGAGGTTGTACGAGTGGGCGCTTGATCTCAACAATCATGATGGTACCTCATTGGCAAGCTTCGTGCAATCTTTTTCCCAGGCTGACGCGTTGTATTTGCAACCCTTTTCAGGATTCCGCATGCGGCACCTGCGCGGTCCAGGCAAGATGGTGCTGTGTGCCCCGCAGTAGGTAATTATTTGTAGAGATGCAGAACATCATTCTTCAAGCCACCTCTTGTTTGATCCATGCCAGCAGCAACGAGTGTCTTTCCAAAATAGGCGAGAAAAAAGAGGAGTCCGATGCCGACTCTAGCAGCAGGGCTATGATAGGGTTGTCTTGTCAAGAGGAGCATGGCAGGCGCATTTGATAAAGCATCCAAGGCAGCGAATCCTCCAGCGATTCAACCAGTGACGAAGCAGAAGACCTCACCGCTGAGGGCCTCGAAGCTGTGCTGGGTTCTGAACTTAGCAGACGATGCAACGCAAAACATGCCTTCTGTTGCCAAGCAGCCAGGCCCGGGTGTCGTGCTCGGTGACAGGAAACGACAGGCTGTGTGCAAAAGCTTGCAGAGCTGTTCCCAAGGGGTGATTGCATTCAACAGCCTTAAGGTTTCTGGGCGGTAGTATAGGTCGTCAGAAAATAGTCCCTACAGGCAGCCGCTTTGCACGGCTGCACCGTGTCGGAGCCTGCGCAGCAGGGTGCCAAGATGGAGGGTGGACTTTATAGTGTTTGCAGATACAGTCTTGCGTCTGAAGGTCGCGTAGGCGGTATGAGCCGCACAGCAATGAGATGGCATAAAAGGGTGTTTGCCAATGCCAGCACAGAAGCAGCCAAGTGCGGAATGCCTGCATATTCTGGTGACTCTGCAGGGGTTGGCTCGGTCTTCGAGGGCTAGTAGTTGCCAAGCCAGATGACGCACTTCAACAAAAACTACTTCGTTGAGCCCTTGAGACCTTGGAGAGAGCAGACCACGAAAGCCACATGATCTTTCGGCAACATCATATATCATTTCAGTTGCTCTTGCTGAACTTCACGGGTGTAGCACAAAGTGACATGATGGCATTACAGATGTGAGAAGCCCCATAGCGAGGCACATTGGATCACGGCTGAGTTGGCGTAGCGCTAATCCCGCTACGCTTTGTGCCTTGGAAGCGAAGTGCATCGAAAGGCAGAGTCCGGCATGGCGGATAACGTCGCGCCAAGGCATGTACCTTACCTTCGTTGCGATGTTCCTAAGGCAACTAGGCCTCCAATCCAGTTCGGGTGGGATACCGCGCTGGGTGGGCAAGTCTTGCCAGATATATCTGCTTCCTTTGCAAGCGGAAGTTTGGAAGCGCAGCGCTTCTCACCAAGCACAAGCTGTGATCTCAGCAACACACAAGACTGATGTGCGGAGACATTCATGAAGCCCGACCTCAACTACCTGAACTCAGGCAGCTTTCTGAGCTTCACAGACGAAACCTCAGCAAGCAGGCAGACGTGAAGAATTGTCGCCAGCTGATATTAGACAGTCGCTGTGCAGGAGGAAGAGAACCAGCAACGGAAGGAGGACTGTTGAGAGAATGTGGCCACTTGCTACTGGAGTATGGCATGTCCGTCCTGGCCATGGTGGTTGCATGAGGAGCTGCGGCAAGCTGTGGCGGCGGTCAAGAGACAAGTTCAGGACTGGTATAATCAAGCCTGGCCAACGGAACAGATTTTGCACGACACATGTAGTGCTGATGGTGTTCCAGGGGACTAGGCTCGAGGATTGGCTTCAAGATTGATTGGATGCTGTGTGGATGGAAAGCTTCTCGCATGTCCTTTCTGAATTCACGAAGTCCGCTTTGTCTCGTGTCTCGTTGGTCTACGTTGGTAGGACGTCAAAGTGTCATTCTTGCCGCAGGGATCCGTCAGCAATTGACATAATGGTTTGCATGTGTGGACCTCGTGTACTTGATTCTCATGGGAAGCGCGGGCACTGTGAGGGGAGGAAGCGACTGTCGAGGTGACAACAGGCACAAGGGGAGGTGGAGCTTCACCGGCGTGTCACGCAGGTCCTTGGAGATTTGTCAGTCGCATTGTAAAGATTTCGTTTGGTATGGCTATTGTTACTGTCACTACTCGGACATTTTGATTTTCAGTTTTTCTAACTCTTGAGTCCATAGTGATAATATACAGCCTCATTGACAGCAGAGGTATCACACTATCACCGCGAATCCTCGAGGTGCCCATTGCTCATGGTCATCGTTATCGTCAACATTCACTGAAGAGCCTTTGTAGCCACGATTGCTTGGCTAAGTAGAGTCGTTGCCATACTTCTGGGCTGCTGTTGTTGGAAACGGCGCCTGTGAGAGGCCCTGTGTTTAGGCGCTTCTTTTTTTATGCCTGGTCCAAGTGCATAGGCTCACCACATCATCCAAGACTAAACCTTGACAACGTTTGTGTTCTCAGCGCATACAATCACCAAGGCATCCATACCTAGACCACAATTATGTTCGCATTTCAGTGCACGTGGTATCACACGGTCACCAGAGCATGCATGCCTAAGCCCGAAAGACGCTCGTGTTCAAAGTGCATGCGAACACCAGGGCACCATGCCAAAACCACAACAACATTGGCATTCTAATTGCATATCGTCAGCAGAGCATTCATGCCCAGACCACAATAGGTTTCGTGCTCCAAGCGCATACGGTAAGGAGAGCATCCATCCCCAACCCAGAGCCGTGTTTGTCTTCCAAGTGCACATGGTCACCAGAGGGGCCAAGGTTTTTTTTTTCATAGGTGTGGCTCATTCTGCTGTGGCTTGCTTAGGTGTGGCTCTGAGCCCCTGGTCCTCTGGTCCCTGGTCCTCTGGTCCCCTGGTCCTCTGGTCCCCTGGTCCTCTGGTTCCCTGGTCCTCTGGTTCCCTGGT